GGTGTGGGGACTGTGGATACACGTCTCTGTTCTCTTTATATGTGCAGCATGTGGTGGAGGTGTTGAGTCTGCTCTCTGACGACGTGGAGACGGACGACGCAGGGCCAGGTGAAAATCTCAAGCTGCGACTGAAAGGCATAGAAGAGGAGGAGATCCTACCGGGCTTCATTCTGTGCAATGCCGAGAACCTGTGCCACTCAGGGCGCACGTTCGACGCGCAGGTTAGTGCACGTGGACGCTCTGCTGGTATTACAGCGCCCATCGACACATTCACAGCAAAACGCTGCGTCCACGATGATTGAGCATGCATCGACATGCACAGCAGCTGTTCACGTGGTCCGCTGTGAATCTCAGGCTTGATGCCACAAAGACAGTTGTTGATGTTAACGGTGAGAAAGTGTCGTATGTGCAGCCTCATCCTGATCAAACTCTCTCCTCTGCAGATTGTCATCATTGAACACAAATCCATCATCTGTCCAGGTTACAATGCAGTGCTTCACATTCACACCTGCATTGAAGAAGTGCAAATTACGGTAAAACCTGACGCCACATTAAGTTTCTCGATGGTCTTGAGCCCCGACTCGTTTCTTTATCTTTAAAATATGGTTGGATCAGCAGCTCTGCAGGCTGACGGAGCGTCTTTCAAAGTTTTGGACATTGGCTGCTTTTTCACTCCGTGTAAAGACCTGACTGTTTTCACAGGATCTGTTTTTCTGACTGAATCATTCGAGCATAACAAAGATTCTGTATCAACACAAACACCAGTGTTGTCCTCACAAAACAGGCAACAAGGAACCAATTTGGGCCTATTTAGCCTCCTTGTCATTAGCACCTACTCGCATCGATTTCAGGATTTTTCCAGTTGTACCTGTTTGAGTTCCAATTGATCCAAACAGGCACTAACATGCAATATCGTCAGACTGCACGCCACCAATTGGCTGGTCGGTGGCGTCACTGACCGCTCACAAGCCATGACAGCATCTCGTTCACGAAAATCCAAACCGCCATTTTTTTATTCTTTAAACCAGGCA